GATGGCTCACTGGTCTGATTGGGTATGGCAGTTCTAATACTTCTGTGAACATATGATAGTGTGGAAAAATTCAGCTTTTATGGTTAATAGAAAGTTCTGCATGAGACAGGAATGAATCTTTGACCAGTGATAAAATCCTTGTGAGCTTTCAGCTGAAAAGCCAGTTGAACTTTGTGTAGATTCTGTTTCCACCCAGATCAACTGTGATTTCCTGCTGATTTCAGTAGGAGCAAAAGAAAAACTGCAAAGAAGCCCCATATACTGTCTTGTATGGGGAAGCACTCAGAACCCACAAGCAACCACATTTTATTTTTAATTAAAAAATAATAATCCCTGTCGATCTGCAGTCTCATGGGGTGTTCCAGATAGCAAGGGTTGCACTTACTTCCCTCTACAGGAGGGAGAATTTGAAGACAATCTTTTACAGCTCATGTGCTAGTCTGTTTTTTTTAACAGCTCTGATTCGTTTAGCCTGTTCCAGCAGCTTCCAGCTGCAATCTTGGACTCCAAAGACTGGCTTCCTGATCATCAGCTACCTGGCTCCACAGAACAGTCCAGGGACCAGGCATTCAAATGCAATTAAATTGCTCTCCAAAAGAAAGCTGGAGAGCAAGAAATAGTGCTGGCATGCTGCAGAAAAGCAGGAAGACAAAGAATCAACTGACAGTCTATATAGCATAAGACTGGAGTGTTTGGCTAAAATGTGGAATTATACTGCATCTTGGAAAAAAAATATGGACAATAAAAGCAGATATGGAATGAAGGTATCCTTAAGGCCTTGGCATAAAAAGTTTTCAGCATTTTTCAACAGCTGGATATAGACACATTGGTAAACTTTTATAATAAATCATATTTTTAATATTACTGTCATAACTTTAAGATCTGAATTTACTATATTTTCATAAAATATAGTAGCTATAGCTTGTCTGTACCAGCTGTAAATGTGATTTTGTTTAATTAACCTGATTTTAAAACAAACAAACAGAAAAGAGGTTTTTGGATAAATTTTCAGTTTTGCTAAAACCACATTTATTTTAGTACAGCCCTCATTGATTAGTTTAAGCAAAATAAGTCACTGAACTTGTATCTGGACCTCATAGACCAGGATTTGTTTGAAAGAAGTTAATTTAAAAATCAGGGACATTCACACTGGTACGGCAAGGTCCTGTCACCTCAGTTAGACTGAACCTCAGCCCTGTGGGAACTCTGCTCTTGCATTACTCAGTACAAAGGGCTGCAATGGGGATCACTCTTCAACAGGTGAAGCCTGCAGCTGCCACCTCCATCTCTGCCTGATTGCCTGGCTGTAGACTGGGAAGCATTTCTGGAACGGTACAAGGAATTTACAGTAAGGAAAAAGCATTGTAGGACAGAAAGACAATGCATTAAGCAAGGCCTAGAGACTGGCAAATCACCTTTTCTGGTGGAAAATTTACACATGCACAAGCTATTAGTACTATCTCCTTCATATAGTGAAATATATGATCCCCAGCACAAACAAGCCTCAGATGGTACCTGTTATCTGCACGTGCCCTCATACATGGATATTCCTGATGTGTAATTCTTGATATGTTGCAGGAATGATGTCCAATGGTGTTTGTTTGAAAGTGAACCACTGCAAACAACAAGTTGGATGGACCAACTTTTGCTGTTGTACTCTCCTGATAACTCCTGTTACAGGAGATAGATACAAAACAAAGCTTGACAACTTCCTCTGTCTTAAAACTAATTAAAACTATATGACAGAAGCAAGACAAAAACTTTATTAATTTTTCCCTGAAATATTTCTTTTTTTCAGAAGCAGAACTGAGTATTGTTGTGCTGGCTCAGAATCACATTCTGAGTTGGAAGGGACTCACAACAATCATCAAGTCCAGCTCTTAAGTGAATGGCCCATACAAGGATCACACCCATGACCTTGATGTTACTAGCACCATGCTTTAACCCCCTGAGCTCATCTCAGAGTGTGAAGTAATACAGCAGCATTAGTGGTAAAAAGATTTGGCATCCTGAACTAAGTTTCAACTGTGTAACTTTAACTATTTGTAGCTTAAAGACAAAATGAAAACTTACATTTGGAAGAAGTAGGTACTTCCAACCACAACTCATCTGATTTATTGCAGATACCTACTTTGTATGAGATTGAACCATTCTCTAGACTCCCGTGACTCAATCTCCAAGCAGCTCTTGGCCAGAGGCCAGTTAAGAGACAGTTCTCTCCACTCCATTAGAGGAGTCACCAGAGTCCCCAGAACTGTTATGCTACCATATACCAAATCTATAAATATGTGGATTTTCATTATGTCCTATTGATAACCTAGCTAAGGGACTGAAGTGTACTATTATCTATATATATTTAAAAAACACATGGATTGTAAAATAATAGGCAGTCAGCAGTGCATGCCAATCTATTTAGCATGAATTGAGACAGAGATGCATTACAGAGAGAAAACTGACACCGGTAGAGTTTCTATTTCCCTTATGACACTGAGCACGAACCTTGCCTCCAGACCCTTTGTCTTCGCACTTCTCTGACACTGTTCCTTTCCCTATGTTCCTTTTGTCTCTCCACTTGTCAAACTGTTGCTCAGACACCTGGGGTTTTTTATAGATTTCCTACACAGTGCTTTGGAACTGTGCATTTTTGATCTCACAGATATATGAACTGAGACATTATATTGCTTTTACAGGAAAAAAAAGTTAAAACTTAGTACGTATTCAGAGCAAAATCAAATATCATAATCTGTTTCCCGGAAAGTATTTAGTCTGTGCAAATAGAAATTTTATTTTTTCAAGACAAAGCAGAAAAAACAAACAAACTGAAGAACACAGTTCATTCTAGTTGAATCAAAATACATTTTTAAAAAACGCTTCCCTTGCCCAATACAAAGCAATGTACACAGCATTCTACTGAAGCAAAATAGTATGTTTTCATGGATATGTAAAAGAAGAAATAAGGGGTATGATTCACAGAACTGAAGGAGGACTCACACTCTTACTTTTACATGGAATCAGGGCTGCCATTCATGCCAGGTGAGAATTGTGTCCGATTCCCTTTTCTTCACGTTAACAGGACATAAAGCTGTATTAGCCCTGTTCAGTGCCTTCTCTTAAAAATGCTTTTGTATTGATGGTCAAAAAGGCAGCTAAAGTGATACAATACCTACAAATACCGAGAAATAAGAGATCCATAGAAGTGCAGGTTAATAAATTAATTCTGTAGAAAATGAGTAAAACAGTAAAATTAATGGATAAGTAAACTGAAATTACAGAGGGAACTCACTAAATAAATTACAGGAAAAGACAGAGCTTACCTGTTTCTTTACAAAATCTATCACTAAAACCTCTTAAAAAAATTAAACAGCTTGAGATAAGAAACAATGCCTTCAGAGCTTAATTGGTCAAAGGGACACAAAATAATTAAATGGTTAATTTTAAAATTAGAAGGAGGTCCCAGAACAAAGCAGTATAATAGATGCCTATTGAATTATGAGTGGTGTGAAAAGGGTAAATAAGGAATAATATTTTTTCCTCCAGTTTAGAAACTAGTGGGAATCAAATAACCAGAGTAGGTACCAGCTCCAAAAGTATCTGAGAGAGATAGGTCTTCATACAAATGGCACAATAGCAGACGTAGATGCTAGAAGTTTGCCACGGTCACCAGCTAAATTCATGGCTATAACCAGCAACTGTTAAACATGAAACAACACTGTGGATGAATATGTTCCTGAGCCACAAACTGTCAGAGTCTGAGCAGTTTTTTGAAATATCAAATTCGTGCTTGTTCATTTGTGGGTTTTTTCCTTCCCTTCTTTATTTTCTATCTGTTGCTGTCTGTTTTCAGTGGTGTGTTACTGACCTGCAGAATCCCTGATAGGATCCAATACCATTTCTCCAATACCATGGGTTTTGTTTACCTCTTTATATACGTCCCAAGTATCCATAACAGTAGACCACTATATGCAGGCAATTTAGATACAGACAGACCAGGGCTTGCATGTTTGGAGGAGTAATTAGTTCAGACACATCACAGGTGAATACTGGTGCGTTAGAGTAGCAGTTAGCTCAGGTAGAGCATGGTGCTACTAATGTCAAGGTTGTGTTTTGATCCCTGTATGGGCTATTCACTTGTGACCTGTATTACTGGTATGGCTACTTCAAATCCAGAAGCAATTTGAGCTCATTTCCATAATGCTGCACCCCCAGGGCTGCTCTGACCTAACTCAGATGGCCCAGAGGCACATTTCTATTCTGGATAATACTCATACACTATAACAAAAAAGTGTATATGTATTGAGTCTAGTCCACACCAAGTATAGCTGCCACTGCAGTGGAGATATCAGTGCTGTAAGACAGAAGGCCTTGAAAGGCACACCTTCCAAATACTCTAACACTGCACACAGCAAGTGTGCACCTGGGGCTGGTGCTGCACCCCAGAGTAAGGAGCCCAGTAGCAGTGCAGAGCACAGGAGAGCATGAGCTCCCTAGGAGGCACCTCAGTCTCAGGCTTTATTACCATGACTCAGAGCTGGTCAAGCTGGGTTTGGGCTGTTTTCATAGCTATCCACTCAGTCTTGGTCATGACATGATTCCCAATACCCATTTATGTATTTGTGAATAATTTTGAATATTCCATCCCTTTTAATCACAGACTACAGGACGTTGTTGATTTAGACTTCTCATTTTGCTTGGTATCATTTACCTTTGAATGCTAATAATCCAAAAGTTGTTAAAACACTTCTGAAGTAATTTTATATGTGGGAGGAGGACAAATTCTTTTCACACAGGTGTTTCTAAAAGTGGTTGAGACAGGATTTTATTTTTTAAAATTTTCAAAAACGCAGTTCCTTCTGTCTGATCAGCATAGCTGATTCTAAACTCACATGTGGGCAAAGAGCAGAGTACCACAAGCAGCATATTTTATGCTATATAAATGCTCCCAAAATGGAGGAAGTGGAAGTGATGAATTAAGTGAGAAGCTTTTGTTATGATTCTTTTAGGTTTTAAGGTAAAAAATTGAGAATGGATCTCCTTGGAGAGGAAGGAGAGAGAATGGCACATCTAAAGGATGCAATCGATCATCCTAAACATTGGTAAGTGACGTTTCCTTAGGCAGCTGATGGCTAAATATGTCTGGGTTTTTCAACTTGTGCTTGTACAAGAAAGGAGTCTTATGCCCTCATTTTTTAAAAGAATATCCACAATTCAGTGGGCGTAATTTAGTCTACAAGCTACTGGCACAGTTGTATTAGCACACTTAGCTACATAGCATTTTCCTGCGTGGATATTTGAGAGGAAAGGATTTTTTGTTTGCTTGTTTGATGTATGTTTTTTATGGATTTTATTTAAGATGCCTGTGATGTGTTAGAAAGCATCATGTGCATAAAGGAACTGCAGCCCTTCCTGTAAATTCAACAAACTGGTATATGCTGAAAGGAACCTCTGAATGATTTACCTTTTTCTCAAAGAGAGGTGAAGAGTAGGAGACGGGTGGGAAAACAACAGATTTTTTAAATTATATTAACACTCACTACCTGCAAAAGCATTTGTAGAGAGTTACCCAAATCTCCTGTGGGCATTTCAGCACAAGTCCAATGCAGAAATATACCAAAAAGGAATGACTAGTTGATTGGGCTACAGGCCAATCTCAGCTACAACTGTATGGTATCATAAAACACCTTGGCCCCTTCCACAAGAAGAAATAATCAAGACTCCATGACACTGTATTCCTGAGGAATGTGGTTTTTCCAGATAATTTTCATTTTCTGAGTCACTGTTAATTTTCTTCAGGCCTAAGTACAGTTCACATTCCTGTTACAAAGGGCAACACCTTAAGAAAGTATTGAGATAGTCAGAAAGGAATAGGAAAAGAATGCTAAAAGAAATTACTTCCTCCGAAAGACACCCGCAGTTGCCTAAGTGTTTTAAAAATATGACAGGTTCAATTCAGCCAGAAGGTTCAGAGAGCCAACCAACACTCTCCTTGGTTTCCTCTCTAGAGTAGAGCCCAGAGATCCCCAAACAAGTCCCAGCAGAAGCTCGCATCACTGCCCCACTCTGTCCTCTTCAAGACTCTGTCCAGTTGGGAATGAATATAGTGTCTTGTTACTAAAGTTATTGCTTTAGGACTCACCACCATTGACAAGTCAGTAAAAATCCCTCCCTGTGACTAATTCTAACAACACAAATTTTTAAAAATAAAAAATCCCACAACTATATATTGCTATAAAAAGTTGTTCCAGCAATTACTTTAATTAAGTGATTAAGAATGGGCACAGTATTATCTTCCACATGTTATTAGAATGCACAGCAGTAGTCCAATGCTTACAAAGATTTACATTTGTGTTGGAATAATATTCATGAATTGGGAATTAAAAATCTCACTCAAACGTGCCTTCACACAGTTGGCCAAATAAAGCAAAGTTTTTCAACAAGGGACTTCTGTGTTAGAGACCTTGAAAATAATGACTTAACAGCATGCTAACTTGTTGAAAAGAATCTCATCAGAGGCCTGTCCAGCTATGACATGTTATGAATTTACTTTGGACTGAACCAATGGGCTGAGGTATGCCATCAAGATGAAGGAATGCAACTTGAAAGATATATATGTCTGTTTTAAGTAGGAATGTTCATTCATTAGCTCACTGCTTCATTCACTAAGCTGTGTGCAAAGTGCTGCACAAATGAATGATTCAATACAGATGCCTTTAATACACCACATAGCAGTAAGAAGCAAGGTACTTGCCATCATGACTCTCTTGGTGAGACAAGGAAGCAATTTCTTCACGGCTGCGCTGGAAGCCTTGAAATGGAGGAATACAGGCTGTACTGGGAATAGTAATCTGTAATCAAAAGTAATCTATACATTAATATGCTTACAATCCTCCCTCACGTCTTCAGTGTTATGAGTTTATTTGGGGGGAGCAAGGGATAGAAGAGATGAGTTGTTTTGAGGTCCAGGCTGAGCAAAACTGTCCAGAATAGCAGCTCCAGGGGCCACTGAAATAATATACAAGCTTTCACAGTGCAAAGTATGCTAAAGTGGGTCATACAGTTTATTTCCAGATGTTCCCACCCTCTGAGTATTTTCTAATGATACAGATGAAATCTGTAAAGACTTCCTCTATGAGACTAAAGCTATGCAGAAATGAACAAAACGTGCAGAATAATTTATTAGGATGTAAAAACAGAGCAAGTAAACAAACAAACAAAATCATACAGTCCCTGTATTTAGAACAGAAATTAGCAAATTTGCACTATTAATAAAATCATTTATCAAAGTTCAAAGAAAGTCTTTTTTTCCACCTGGAAAGTTTCCAAGCTCAAAAAATATTCTAAGTAGAAGAGAAAGTTTAGCAAAAGCCAAACACTGGCAGAAGAAGCATAAGAGGAAGCAGAGAAAAAACTAGTCAACATAAATGATAAAAGCTCTCAGGTAAAGTATTGTAAAGTAGCTGTCTATTTGAAGAAGGTTTCAATTTTAACACTGTCTTGTTGTTGAAGTTGTAATGTCTGTAATGAACATTAAGCAGTTACAAAATCACAGAATATGCTGAGTTGGAAGGGACCCACAAGGGTCATCAAGTCCCACTCTTAGCCCTGCACAGGATACCATCCCCAAGAGTCACACTACGTGCCCAAGAGTATCAACCAAACACTTCTTGAACTCTGTCAGGCTTGGTGCTGTGACCACTTCCCTGGGGAGCCTGTTTCAGTGCCCAACCACCCTTTAGGTGAAGAAACTTTTTCTAATATACAATCTAAACCTCCCCTGACACAACTTCAGGCCATTCCCTCAGGTCCTGTCACAGGTCACCACAGAGAAGAGATCAGTGGCTGCCCCTCCTCTTCCCCTCATGAGGAAGTTGTAACTGCAGTGAGGTCTCCTCTCTGACTCCTCTTCTCCAGGCTGAATGAACCAAGTGACCTCAGCTGCTCCTCATACGGCTTCCCCTCAAGGCCCTTCACCATCTTCATTGCCCCTTTGGATGCTCTCTAAGTTATACTGCAGTGACCAAAACCACACACAACATTCAAAATGAGACCGCACCAGTGCAGAGCAGAGCAGGACAATCCACTCCCTCGACCGGCTGACGATGCTTTGCTTGATGTCCCCCCCCAGACATTTTTGTGAAGTCGTTTTGTTAATGAGTCGAAGAAGGATATATGTGTTTTAATAAGAGGGCTTGAAATATAAACAGGGGCATTTTCTCAAAATGAAGAAGAGCATAAAACCACATGTGGTTTTGGTCACTAAAGAGAAGTCTGCCTGTTACAGTAGAAATGAAGACAGTGCATCAGATAACATTATATACAGATTTGAGCCAACAGAGTTGCATTTTGGCCCATATGTTTAGAACACAAAATATAATGCACATTTGAATCTATGAGTCTTCCCAAAAATTGCTAGGTGACGCTAGAGGATTTATGTTTCTTAAATGAATACACGTGCCATTGCTGCTATAAAGCACTTTCTCATCACAGACCTGAATGCTTTCTCATTGGGAAAAACAAACAAAACAAAACAAAAAAACAAAACAACAACAACTACAAAAAGACACAAAACAAAACAACAAGGGAACCCAAAAAGCTCCGCAACCAACCAAAAAAAAAAACAAACCCACAACCCCCAAAGTCTCAATATCTGTAATCTTTCCTTGCAAAATATTGTAACCGTTAATATATCCATTTAACAATGGAGTAGAATGAAGTGCCTGATTTAAGAAGAACAGAAGACCATAAACACACGTGCTATATTTGTATACTTTTTTTTTTTCAATCAGACCCATCTGCACTCCAGCTCTTTTTAGAATAGCTGAAGAAAAACTCTCTGTGCCTCCCTGGTGCATACGAAAACCATATATAAAATTCAATGTTTTTTGAAGTGGTCATTGTGTTTGATTTACATGCTTTAAACTTAATTCAAACTCATCAGTAGAAATTACAAAGCAAATTAGACAGAACTGTACCTAGTAAAAATTACTTGAATAGGACAAAGTAAAGGAAGTTAGAGGAAGGATTAGTATCAGAAATATGGTCTTTTAATTGTCAGCAATGCATTAAAAACAGTGATGCTTTCTTCTGTTATTTAATATAATTTTCCATTTCCATTTTATTTTTATTATGATAGCAGTATTTGTAGTACATACGTGTTGTCTTTTTCACCACAGTGTACCCTAGTTACTTTTTCCTGGCTGATTTTATAGCCATGAGATACCTTTTGGTCTTTTAACTTGACCTGCTATATAAATTATAGACCAGGACACAGCAATTTCTGCATCAGGTGTCTTTTCTGAGAGATATGTTACAGCTCAATTTAAGAACTACAACAGATGGAAAATCCAGCACATTGCTATGTCAGAATTTGTTCCAAACATTAATTACTATCACTTGATATTTGTGCTCTGTTTCCAGATCAGAATTGTCAAAATTAAATTTCCAGTAGTTCCATCTTTATCATTAATTGGATAATGATCAAGTAACAATAATAATTAAAAAAACCAATTAACTTTAAATACTTTATTAGACTTCATTTGTAACAGAACTGGTCGATGAAATCTTTTCCATGAATGGTCTTACAGACTGTGACTAAGTCTCCTTCTAACCTAAAGCAAACTGGGCTTCTTTAGTGTCTCAAAATGAAGCACATTTCCCAGACCTCATACCTTTCTTGCAGTCTTCTTCTGAGCCCATTCCAGTTTGTAAAGGTCCTTCACAAAGCATTAATGCTAGAACTGGACAGAGCATTCCAGGAATGTCCTCACTAATGACAGTAACAGAGGGAGTATCACCACCTTTATTCTCTTGCTTAGACGTGAAAGGATTGCATCTTACATTTTAATCATAACATTATTCTTTTAGTTTACTTTCATATTTAAGTCTTTTCTAGAGGATTCAGTTTCCCAATAATAAGTTTTATGTAAATTCTTTTTCCTTTGGCCTCAGTTTTGGCCATGCAAAAATATCTTGTTGTAATGAATTTATTGTAATGAGCACTCCAGGTTAACTCATTCCTCTTTCATCATCATTAATTGTTCATTAAATGCTTTTGTCACTTGTAAGTTTTGCTATTGATAATTGAACATTTTCCAGACTTTGCTAAAGATATTGCCTGGTATTGAAAAACAGATCCTCACAGTACCACACTAGAAATATTTTTCCCTACATGACTGTAAGTCATCTATACTTATTTCTTTATTACCTCCATTTTAATCAGTCTTTTCTATGCTTTTTAACAGATTTTTCATTTAGAATCTCAGCATTCATTTTCTCCAAATTCCCCAGCATTCTGTAATTAAAAAATTATTAGTACACTGAAATAAATTACCTTAGCTTTAGTTTAAGTCTATTGCCTGATACTGCCCATTTGGAAAAAAAAAATATTTGTTCAGTTTCCAGCTACTGATGGGATAGAAAATACTTTACATTAGCTTTAAGGTAGAAATAGATCTTCCTGTCTTTTCTGGAAAAACAGATACGTATGAGCACATCTGCCTTTTGCACATAGTGATCCATGTTTTTACTATACTTGCTGAGTACAGGATTTGAACCATTAATAAGATCTCACTTTTTTATATATACTTAATGTATTGTTTCTTGTTTTCCTCCATCCTTTGCAGCGTTTTTTTAAGATATTTTCAGCTTCCTGTATCTATTGTCTATATTTCCCTAGAGTCGGTTTTAAACTCACTGCTATTGCTCTTGTTTTTGTTATGTGAATTTTTATTCCTGCCTTCATTTTCTTCTTAACCAATAGGATATTTTTAGGCTAAAGATGTCTTTAAAGAATTGCTAAGTAGTGTGTCTTTTAACACAGATTTATCAAATCTGAATTATATTTCATATTTTCATGTTTAAATGTTTCCTGCCACATAATTTTGCTCACAGTTTTTCTCAGCCTTGGGAAACCAGTTTTCTAAAAGACAAAATATACACATTTCTACAAAGGTATTGCCAAGGCAGATATTGGCAAACTGCACAGATCTTTCTGGTGGGAAAAAAATAACAATCTTACTCTTCCTTTCCATAAAATACACATCAAAATAAAGTTCACTCTAGAAATACTCTGGGTTGTTGGGGGATTTTTACTTGCCAAATTAAATTAATAATGTTTAGTTTGGTTTTCAAATAAGCATTTGGCAGTTTAATTAATTGTTTGCACTGATTTGTTCTAAGAAAAGCTATATAGTGATTTAGAAGTTAATCATAAATTCAAGATCTTTTAGCCTGCTTTAACTCATATCCTCTGCAACTTGGAAAAAGTCCCTTAGTCTTTCTGTGCCTCAACTTCCTCATCAGGAAAACTGAAATAACAGTTTTCTAATATAGATAGATATTATGTGTATATGCACAACATTATGTGATGTCTAGGAAAGTATGCTAAAAAAGCATATAAATATCTCTGATTATTGGATCTGTATCTACCACAAGACTAAGTGCAGAAACACCATAAAATTGCAACCAGTGTTCCTTTGCTATTTGCATTTTGAAAAGTACAGTTTGGAAAGTCAGATTTGTCTTTGTTTCACTTCAGAAGTTCTGAACATCTTAATTTTGAAATTAAATATTACATACACATGCATAAAGCCAATAGCACTAAGGATTTTTTATTTCCTTTCCTTCTGTATGAAAATCTCAAAACATTATGAAAATAATGGATAAATGCCTTCCATAGGGTTTTTTAAAGTTGTATTTGTAGCACTGTAATTCATTTAGACGTCTGTGGATTTTTTGACTTTTCAGTGAAAGTCACAAAAAGCATTTGTTGTCCTGATCTTCTATTTAACTGAAGCATGTGTTAGAGTCTGTACAGATAGATAATGTGACAACCTTGCTAAATAGGCTGAAAAGCATAACTTATTCCCTCCAAAATCAAAAGTGAACTGGGATTAGATTCACTCAAAATTAATGGCCCAGTAATAATTTATGTGCTTTGAAAAAAAAAAAAAGACTAATTACCTGGAGCCAAACTGATATTGTCTCTTGGAGATTCACCAGTGGAACTGGACAGAAAATAGAGACATGGTCTTTACAGAGTGACAGAAAATAGTGAATGCAAATGTGAAATACTGGCTGCTATGAGTCTTCAAATTCCCAATTTTGTAGCTGATCTGACAAGCAAATTTGTCTTTACACATTTAAGTATACATAGGACAATGGCTAATTGTTTTCCTCAGGCCACCAAAGATGTTTCCTCCACTGTTTCTTCAGAAGTGACTTGCTCAGATTTAGATCCTCACATCATTATCTCTAAATATTTTTTTTCCTTTAGAAAGAGAAAACATTTATGGGTACATCTGACACACAAACATTTCAGTTTCTCAAGGAAAGGTTTTGTCTTATTTCCTCCCAATTACCACACATTTTAATTCAGATCAGAATACATATCATATACCTCTAAAGTACACAAAGTTCAAATGCAAACATCTTAGACCTTAGCAGCTGATCCAGATTTTGAATGCTGAAGTGGTAGTATTTCTATTCCAGCTTGAGATTATGGGCAACAAAGTACTGAAAACTTCATGTTCAAAGGTGGTTTGCATGCATGTATGTGCATATACAACTAATTTTCACAGGGTTAAATAAAAATTAATTTATAGAATCAGGAACTTGGCTACAAATATCTACACTTATGAATTTTTCTGTTTGGCTAAAAATACCTTATTAATTTTAGTTCACTAAAACACAACCCGTCTGTAACTTGATCCATTTTGAGTAGCTATACTTAAAAACAGTGTTATGCTTTCGGTACTAAAGACTGATAACTTGATAGCTCCCCAGGGTTTGTTGGTTACAGTTTAAGTACAGAGTTGACATTACATGCTATTTTTCTGAAAATCCCAGCAGTAATACTACAACTGAGATACTGGTATTTGAAGATATAGTCAAAGATTGTTAGAGTGTGGATATCTTCAAACATATAGTATCATTCACTAACCTGCAATTTTATTAATTTTCAGGTCCCTTTAATCTTATGAAAATGGAACTTTAAAACTGAACAAAAACAGCAATTCAGAAGTATTCTTTGGGCCAATTCGAAACCTGCCTGGATTCTGTCATCCTTACAGTGAATAGTAGGCTACTCTGTAAATAGTCCTCATTATTTCAGTATGAATAAAGGTCACCCAATTTGGTGCTTAGGGATTACATAATTTTCCATCTGCATTTACCAACACTTTTAGAAAACATGCATAACTCATTCATTCTTGTTTCACAGTTGAGAAGCCGGTGTAAAGCTAGATCAAATGACTTATCCTATATTGTTCAACAAGGCAAAGGAAGCCAAGAACAGAATCTCATTTATTTTTCTGAACAGATTTCAATAGAACAGGGTAGCATTCTATAAGCCTTTCTTTTGGCTTCTGTGCCATTTCCAAAGAGCTATATTTTGAAGAAAAGATGCCTGCTGTATCTGTTATTACTGTAATTTCTTAGCCCATCAATGAATGGAAGCAAAAATGCTGTCTGATCCCAACAAACTCTTATTCCAAATGCGGAAGAAAAAGATTACCATAGGTAGCAAATCTACAAATCTGAATGATTTAAGACTTTCATGCAGATTAATGAAATGTTTTATTCTATTTCCCAGAATTTATGTGTTTGTTTTCTCATAATAAAGGAAGTTTCTAGCTTCTGGTTGTGAAGATAGCCTTGACAATGTAAACCAACATACTTTCATCTTGTTGAGTCCTCATCCTTACCAGCTAAAACAATAGCATCAAGCAAAGTTAACTTCCCCCATTCATCTTGCTGGAGTGTCCGCCTTGAAGCAAAATATGTACACTTAAGTACCAACAGTGTTAACCAATTCACTGCTTATTATCAGGTTAGAAATAACTAGTCAGCACAATTAGACAGTGGGTGGATGTTTGTGATGTTCTTGACATGCTATCACTTGAAAATGTCGAATACATTATTGATATGAAAATAGAGAACAATCTACAAAGTTTAAGATATTTTTCTAAACTAAGTATCTGTTTAATGCTGCCTGCCCCCTTAAATTTTGGAATGTACCTCCTTCTTCTGCATATCTAAAACTCTCCCAAACTTAAATGACTCTTAAGATTTCTTACCTACTCCCTACCTCTAATTTTGGTGGTCTGTGACCAATTGCTGCCTGACTGTGAGAATCCTCTGCAATGACAGGGACTTTACTTCATATGTATCTTCAAGTTCTTTGAAAGAATGTTAAGAAAGAAGCATTCAAAATTGGCCCAAAAGCACATGGATACTCATTTATTCTGAACTGATTGAAACAACCAAGCAGAAATTTAACGAAACCTACACTAACACTGTCCTTATAGTATTGGAAGGATGAGAGAGGAGCTAATAGGACCACAGAAAACCTGCCCTGTCTTCTATAACATAGAAATAAAAATAAATAATGTTCGGTTATTAGACATGACATTTTCTGTCTAGAAAGAAAAACACATTACTGGTTGCTTCTGCAGTGCTTACTGCATCCATTTTACAGAAGAAACTGAGGCATTAGGCTAAAAAGGTGATTCAGCAGGAAAGCAATGGCAAAGATGGGAAAGGATGCAAAGTTCCAAGACAGATCTCAGTTTACTAAATCAATCTGCCTCTGCTCAGGTGACATCTCAAGCACACACTGCAAACTCTGTTAACAGCTGCTTGGAAAAGAGCGTATCTGCCTTCTGGGCCCCTTACCCTTAATGACTGAATTATAGCATGAACCCAGAGCCACAACATCAAATAGAAAGGCTGCATTCCACCTTTGCTACAAGAACATAAGCAATGCTGCTATCTATGTGTCACCAAGCTGCCAGCCTGCCAGAGGCAAAGGCTTGCAAAGGAAACCAGCCCTTACAACAAAACTTTTCATAAAGTCCCAGAACAATGCAAATGGACCATCACAGGCACCAAAAAACCATCACTGATTCCTCTCTCTGTATTGTGCAGTGTACTTTGCTTTAGACGAGGAGCAAGTTAATCTAATTAGTACACACAGCAAGTACCTGGTTCCTTGAAATCTGTTTCCCACTTCCCCTTTCTTCTTACCTGCATTCATTTGCTGGACATAAATTTACTGGTAGCTTTTCTCAAACCATTTTTCTACCTGTGTTTTCCTGCCTCTGACTCTTTCTTGAAGTCTCTTTCAGATCAATATTTTTTACACTGGAAAGGCAGATAAACAATAACTTCTAAAAAAAATTCTATAGTATGAGGACAGGGGATGTATTCTTTTGCATAACAAAAGTGAAAACACTTGGAGTGGATTTTTTTCAGAATAAAAATACATTTTCTGACATGGTTCTGAGAGAACACCTGTGCTGTTTTGTTTATTGAGCAATACTTAATATACACTTGATGAACAGCCATCATGATAACATTTTAAATTAAAGTCCATGTGGCTTTAAATGATGGGAAGTTTTTTTTAAAAACCTAAAATTTAAAAACTGTATTTACTTTCCCTGGCAATTGTTTAGCTATTGCGCAGAGATTCTTTTTAACTGTTTGTCTTTAGAAGGCACTTTTCACTTTCCAAGCAGTTAACAAAGATTCTGCTAAGTATTATATGAGCTGCACAATTATTTTGTGCATGCATTTATATTTTCATACCTAGGGAAGCATGCAAAAGCTGCAGTTGGAATGAAGAGCATGAGCAAAGAGAGAAGATACCAGGCAGACTGGCAATGATCCCAAGCTGCTCACACCCTGGTGTTCAGGATAGCACATGTGGGTGCCACATGAGCAGGTGAAACTGTGATTCTGCATGTGTGGAAAGGCAGATAATAATTAAGCAATCAGATGTGCGAAGTGCATCATGCTGGGACGCTCCGTTTCAGATGGGTTGATAGGTTTGAAACCGAAGGCGGTAAGTGAGGAAGTGGCCAAGTTACAGCTGTAATCCTAAGGTTTTCCGCGTGGTCCCTGGAGCGCCACAGTACCAGTCTTGTCCTGACACACTCTCCGGGAGCGTGCCAAGCGCTTTTCAGCCTAAGGAGAGCATTCAACATCTTTCAGCTGCTAAGACTCAAGGATTTGGTCTCTGGATATATTCCAAGGCTCCTCTCCTACATGCCTGTACACCCTGCAGCCCTCCCTAACCACCATCCTTTGCGAGATTCCCCGCTGCCGTCAGCTCCCGGGGACGGTGCCTCGTGCCTGGCAGCGCGGGGAGCCTGACGGGCCGGGGCTGGGATCGGGGTCGGGATCGGGACCGACACCGGGACCGAGCGCTGCCCTCTGCCGACTCCCGCCTGGAGCAGCGCCTGCCGCCGGCACAGCCCCTTGGCAGCGGCAGCGCGGGGAGCCTGGGCGAGGTGTCGCTTCACCCCGGTTTTAATTGTAGCTGCTGCAATAGCTCCAAATGGTGATGCAAAGGGTCATCATAAAGCCCGAGGAGTTAAAATCTACCCTCGCAGGGCTTTATGAGCCATCTATTTCACATCAGTATGGGCTTCTGCATGTTTGTTTGTCCTTCCCTCCCTGTTTCGGCCAAAAATCTTTGCCTGGATGTTGAGTTTTTTAATACTGTAACAAGTTGAAGAAGTATTATTGTTATGGTTACAGTTATCCTTATTGTTATTTCTTTTGAGGTAGAGTTTATATGATTTGGAGAACGTGGATTTAGTCTTCGCACTGTAACTGAACTATTAACCTGAACTGCACGGAAATGTTACACCAAATAGCCATAAATTTGTTCAGCTGGTTCTGGCCCTTTTTAAAGCCAAACCGAGGTAGTTTCTCAAGAAGAGAATAGAGCAGGGGGTCACAGAGGGCACCCACCCCTCTGCTCACAGGCTCTGACCTGAGAAGCACCATGGGGCCCTCTTGTTTCTCCTGTCTGATACACACACACAGAGCTGCTGGAGGGACCTGTAAGGCTGCATGGTCACATCAGCGTGTGGCTCTGTGTTTCCATACAGTCATTCCACGCACAAAAGTTTGAGGGTAAATAAAGAAACCCACCCTCCCATTGACTGAAAGTCACAGCTTGCACCATGGTGCTCAGCCTCCAGAAACGTTCCTCCTTTCACTGCTGCCAGTGGCAGTTTTGTGGTTTGCATAAGTTGCTTCTCATAAATGTCTGCTTCCCTTTCAACCAGGTCTGAGGCATCTGTATTTTAAAGTATAAGCTCTTCTGGGTGAGGTTGGTGAGGGTGTCTGTCTACACCCTTGCAGAGTGTTTAGCACAGCAACCTTGATGTCTTGCCTCACTTCTAACACCTACAGTCATACACCACTAGCAGTAAATGCACAGCGGTGAATATTTTACTCCACCGTCTCCAGCTGAATACGAACGAACTCAGAGCTTTGCCTCTCATCATAAAAATCTTGCATAGCATGAGCTCAAGCTATTTCACAGGTCACCTGCCTTTTCTTAACCATGTATAGAGCTGACTACTAGGAATCCAAATGTGTTTTATGTGTTATTAATAAAGTTAATATTTCTATTAAATACTACTCCAGTCTGGGATTCTCACCCAATCTTGAGCACAATGATCAAGAAAAACACTTTTTGTCACATTATTAAATGTTCAGTTGCAACAGTATAGAAGACTCTGGTAGCAAAATGCCATGTTGACATCTTTCCAGTATGGGAAATTTTTTCCATGGATTTTTTTTTCAAGTCACTTTATTGCAAAACAGTTGCTTTCTGTAATATCACAGATTTATGCAGAGTTTACAATGCAATCATTGCTCCTTGCTATTGAAAAAGATTTATTTAGCTAGTTTTGGCCTTCATTCCAAAAGGCTGAATGCCAAATCATTACAGTGTATCTGGTGTTTTGCTGTCAGAAAATATGATCTAGCATTAAGATACTATTCAGAGACTCTAAAAGCCAGAGAAAATAATTGTGGTAAATCAAAACCTCATAAATACTTTATAAAGTTGTTTTTAATCTCTGTCCTCGTGTGACAAAAAAGTACCAGTTTACATGCAACCAGAATACATGAGTTTTGAGGCTTCATTTCCTATACTGTCTAAGTTTTAAAACAATATTAAAATCTATTCCATATAGATGCAAAAGTCAGGCAGTAGTTGTCACATTATATTTTCTAGTACTACTGCATTTTAATAAGCCAAAAGACAGCAAACTGCTTTTCTAGACTTAACTCCAAATGATGTATTTTCTTTTTTTTTTCTTTTAAAGACACTGAGAGGGTAAGAAACATATATATGGCTCTGAAACTGAGGTCACAAAGGTGCAAGCAGATACAGACAGCCAATGTTCTATGTGGTTAAAGAAAAGCACATGCCAAAGACTTAGGAGCAGCTGGCTCCAAATTTTGGCCTCAGCACACCATGTAAAATTGAACATATGTGTGGACTAGGTTTGACTCCCTTCAGATGCTTCTGAAACACAATAATATCTCACTGGGTAAGAAAGCTGTTCTGGCTTCCAAACTACCTATGCCAATAACTTTTTATTTCTCCACCAAAAAATGCAGAACAATTTTCCTGTGCAGCACATCAGTGTGACAGATAACAGTGACTGCCAGAAGCTTGGAGATGGCAGTATATCTGAGATGGATAATAAACTGAGTCTGTCTAGAGGCATGG